TGGTCAGGTTGGTGCACTGGATGTCTGGGGTATTGGTTTTGTTGATCTGGTTTTTCCTGACCTTGTTTTGGTTTTATGAGGTGTCTCATTGTTGTCCATTGCTGTTTTTGGTTGGGCACCTGTGTTTTTCTGGTCTGCCTGGGCTGTTCCTGTTTGTCCTGACTCCTCCCTGTGTTCAATGGCATGGGTTGGTATGTTGCCTCTTTGTGGTTGCTGCCTTCTACTGGCCTGGTTCCTGTTGATCTGTCTATGTGCTGTGCTGGGGGTGTGTCTGTCTGTGCCCAGCTGGTTTTGCTTCTGCTGCCTGCTGTTTTGCTGCCCCTGTTCTTTGATGCTGCCTGTCCTGGACTGGAGCTCCTTTGCTCTTCTGGGTTCCAGCTTTATTGCAGCTGGTGTGATTCCCTTTTTAGCTGGTTTCCAGCTGACTTTCCAGCTGCCTTTGTCTAGGTTTAGCTGGACCCTCAGCTGGACTTTGCCTGCCTTCTTTTCCACTATTTTTTGTCCTGCCTGGCTTCTCTTTTTTGTCATAGCCTGGCTTCTTTGCTTCTTGTAATTTTTGTTCATTCAATATATTTTTCTGTTCAAAAAAAAAAAAAAAAAGGTTTAGGGTTTAGGGTTTAAGAGCTGAGACAGGTTGTATTCTCCATGTCTATGGAGAGTGCCCCTGGCGCAGATGGCTTTTCTGGAAAATTCTTCCAAGTGGCATGGGACATCATTAAAAGTGACTTATTAGAAGCTGTCAATTTTTTCTTGGGTGGAGTAGTGGTTCCTAGGTCTGTTAACTCTACTCTCCTTGTCTTAATTCCGAAAGTGACCAAGCCTAGTTCGTTTTCAGAATTTAGGCCTATAAGTCTCTGCAACTTCCTGTACAAAGTTTTTACTAAGATTCTTTCAAACAGACTCGCGGCCCTCCTCCCCTCTTTGATCTCAAATGCACAGCATGGTTTTGTTGAAGGGAGAGGGATTGGTGACTGTATTTCACTGGCCCAGCTGATGGTTGGAGAGCTTGACAGGAAAGTTGAAGCCGGTAACGTGATTGTTAAATTGGACATGATGAAGGCGTATGACCGCATGGAGTGGAATTTTCTAAAAAGAACTCTCGAGTGTTTTGGTTTCTCAAGCTCATTTGTCTCTATCATTGGCAACTGCCTGCAGAACCAATTTTTTTCTATTTGCCTCAATGGGAAATGCTTTGGCTATTTTCCATCTTCTAGAGGGTTGAGACAAGGCGACCCGATAGCCCTTGCTCTCTTTATCTTGGCGGAGGAAGTCTTAAGCAGGGGACTGGCCCAATTATATGGGGAAGGTAGGGTTAAAGGCTTTCACGCAGGTAGGGGTGGCCTGTTGGTTTCTCACTTGCTCTTTGCCGACGACACTCTGTTATTCCTTAGAGGTAACAAGTTATCCATGGAGCATTTGATGATTTTCTTGGCTAGATATGAGGGCGGGTCTGGACAGAAAATAAGCAAGGAAAAGAGCACTCTTTTTTGCTCCTCTAAGATCCCTCTGGGCAGGCAAAGGGCATTGTCTAGGATAGCACAAATCCCTATTAAAAAGTGTCCCTTAGTCTATTTGGGTTGCCCAATGATAAAAGGAAGGTATCGTTTGCGTGACTTTGAGGATGTGGTTTTAAAATTCAAGGCCAAAATGGAAGGATGGTATGCTGGTCTCCTTTCTAGTATGGGAAGAATTGTGCTGATTAAGTCGGTTTTAAATGCCATCCCTGTGCACTTGCTCCCTTGTCTCAACCTCCCCGAAGGTATTCTCTTCAAGCTGAGGTCCTTGATCGCCTCTTTTTGTGGTCTGGTAAGATGGGAGAGAAGAAAAGGCAATGGGTCTCTTGGGCTGATATCTCAAGACCGAAGGATGAGGGGGGACTTGGAATTAGGAAACTTGAGGATCTCCAAATGGCTTTTAGATGGAAGCAGGTGTGGGGAATTTTAAAGGGCGATTCCCTGTGGGAGAACATGTTTAGGGCAAAGTTCCTAAGGGGAAAGCACATGCTGAGATGTCCTAGCACGGGGAAAGCATGAATTTTTCGTATGCTTCAGCCTTTCTTCTTTTCTGTTGTGTGTAACTCCTAGGTGCTGGTTGGTAATGGTAGGTCAGTGAATTTTTGGTGCACTAACTGGGTTGGTACTGGCCCCTTGTTAAACAGAATAGAGGGGCTTCCTTTGTCTTTCCCAAGTCTAACTGATATTTGGGTTGGTGGGGCATGGCAGTGGCATAAATTGGGCTTTGACTTGCCTGATCCGCTCAAACAGGAGATTCAAAACACTGGCCTCACTTTATGTAATAGAGACGACCGCTTGGTTTGGAACTTATCTGATTGTGGCAAGTTCACTGTCAAATCTGCTTGGCAATCGATAAGGGAGTCGAAGTACCCTGACGCTGTGGACTCCATGATTTGGAAACAATCTGTTTTTCCTAGCGCTATGCTGCTGGGTTGGAAAATTCACCACCATGCAGTGGTTTTGGATTCGAACTTCCAAAAGATTGGAGTGGAATTGGCTAGTAGGTGTTCCCTCTGTTATCAGGATGTGGAATCGGTTAACCATCTCTTTATTCAATGCCCATTTGCAAACGAAGTGTGGAGAAAACTAGCTGTATGTGGTGGTTTCCAAATTTTTACATCTGAAACTCCTATGGTGCGAATGATGAGGTTGACAAGGATTTTTAAAAAGCAGTCTGTGTATCACAGCCTACTTGGTGGTGCTCCTTTGTTGATATTTTGGAAATTGTGGAGGGAGAGATGTAAAAGAATTTATGAAGATATCTCTTTAAATGCCCATGCTCTGTTCTTGGAGGTTTGTTCAGCTCTTAGACTGCAGGCTCATGGTATTAGACCCAAAGCGGCAGAGGGCATTATGGGCACGGAGTTTTTGCAGGCTATAAAGGTTGAGGTAAGGTATGAGTTGAAACCGAAGGTGATTTGGATTAACTGGTCTCCTCCTCCCCCTGGTCAGTTAAAGCTTAATGTTGAAGGGGCATCAAAGTGCAATCCTGGTAGAGCTGGGGGTGGCGCTGTGGTAAGGAATGAATGGGGGCACTTAGTTTTGGCTGCATCATTTTTCTATGGGGTTTGTTCCAACATGGAGGCTGAGCTATGTGCCCTGAAGGATGACCTATTGTTGTTTAGAAGTTATGGTCTGTTAGACTATGGCCTCCATATTGAAACTGACTCGGCGGTTATGGTCCAAATGATAATGAAAGGACACATGAGGGCCTCGAAGTTTTGGGGGATCTGTGATGAAATTATGGGATTGTTGGAGGGCATGAATTTCTGTCTGGCTCACGTGTACAGGGAAGCGAATTCTTTGGCTGATTGTTTAGCTAATCTCGTTGTTCTGGAAAGTGCTTCAACGGACCACACACAAGATTTGAAAATCCCTCTTCAAGCTAAATTTATTCAGAGGCAGGATCAACAAGGCATTAAAACGCCTAGGAAAAAATTTGCTATTTTTTTATTATGATCATGCTTTTTTGTCTGCTGGGGTATTTTCTAGCTGGGATCCTCATTGCTTGGCCTACCTCAGATGGGACCCTGTGGCCTTGCTGGGCATTATGGATTCATGTGGGGTTCTTGGTCTCTTATTATTGCAGTTGTGGGGAGTATCCGGTTTTTCATTTGCTACTATGGGCAGGAGTGCACACTGTTCACGTGAACAGCCTGCTTTCAGCTGGCCTTTGTTTTCAGCTGGTTTTCAGCTGCTCTCTGAGGTTTGTTTTAAGAGTTTCTCCATTGAATGCAGTTGGTTCTGGGTTGAAGGGCACTGCTCACGTGACTGCTCATGGGACTGCTCCCGTGAACAGTGTTAATGCCAGAAGTCGAATTGGAAATTGCAATAGGCTTTCCAAACCTGGCATTGGGTGTCCATGTGGAGGAGAGTTTGCGGCTGATGACTGCTGGCTTGACGGGTACCATGAAGACAGTGCACCCCGTCCTTCATATTGATTTTTTCTTGGAGAAGTGGTAGCAGAACTTTTCTGAGGAGATCCAGCAGCCGAATACCTTCTGGGGGACACACTCGTGGAAATTATTTTTGGAGTTCCCATTGGAGTGAGACGGGGTGTTATGTAAGGGGTCATAGAAAATCGTTGATTAGCTTGCTTTTACGCTGTTGTCCAAAACTTGGATTAAATCACTCATCATGAAAAAAATGATATGCAGGCATATGCAAGACTGAACAACCAAGAGTTATTGATACATACCATCATCAGTGATGTTTGCACTATCTATGGAGCCGCTAAATGAATGTTGTGTCATGTAGCCATTTGCCGCCTACTCTGCAAGGTAAGAGTTAAGGAAGTAATAGCACACCCAACAACAGACACCAAGCAGAAGACAGAAACCAATATAATTTCATTAAATACAAACAAGATACGACACTTGACCAGTTACTAAGCACTATATTCAAAATTTTCATCAAGCCAAGGCAAAAATTACCCTTCACAGGATGGGCTTTGGGAACTGAATGATCATATATTCCTATATTCACTGTTTCAGTTTGCTGGTAAAACACAAAAAGCAAAGGAAAAAAACCAACATGAACAAGAAGATATTTCTCATCACAAAAGCCCTAAACCCTATTTAAATTCTATATTCTATTAGTATTTTTAACACGCTACAAACTCCTAATTTTTCACCATATGATTTAACCACTTGCTCCCTCTCCAAGTAATTAAATTTTGTTTCCAACATTTAACAATTTCAATAGAAAGACAATAACAAAAGAAATAAAACATAAATAATCTAATAGAAAAGCAAACAAAACACATGTAATCAAAGAAATGTTATTCAATTATAGGTTGTATAAAACACGAAAACAACAACGAAAAATAAAAAGTAAATAGTGGAATAATGAGAGTGTGGGGGATTGAAAATAATAGAAACAAAGATCATAACAAGTAAGAAACACAAGAAGAAGTAGAAATAGTCAAGTGTAAAACACATTTTACATGTAAAAGAAAGCCAATAGAATTTGGACAAATAGATATACTTATCTTTTCATTCCTAAACTCCGCTTTCAAGCTTATCTCGTCCATTCCACTAACAACTGATATCAAAGCACAAATTAGATTAGTTACGCACATAAAAATGAAAATTCAAAGATAACAAACAACAATAAAAGAAAAAAATTAGATAAGAGTGATGAGAAGGTGGAACAAAAGAACAAAAAACCCAAATCCCTAACCCCTAACCCCTAATCCGTACTCCCAAAGCCCTAATCCTTAATCCCTAATACCTAATCCCTACACCCTAAGCCCTAATCCCTACTCCCTAAGACCTAATCCCTAACCCCCCCCCCCCCTTTTTTTTTTAAATAAAGAGAAAATTTTATAGATAAGAACCAAGATTACAAGAAGCAAAAAGCAGAGCATTAAACAGAACATGGAAGCCAAAGTTGGCTTTAAACCTTCAAAATAAAATAGCAAAATGAGCAGCTGAAGACCAGCTGAAAAACATTAAATCCAGCTGGGAATCCAGCTGGAGACCAGCTGAACAGAGCCAAACTGCCCCTAACATTGAAAGACTAACAGGCATCAAAGCAGCCAGACCATAAAGCTAAAAATAGTAAGCTAACTGGAGGAAGACCAGCTGAAAAGAACCAGGGAGAACAGGTGGAGTCCCGTAAAGACCAGCTGAGAATAAAGGCTCCAACTGACTGCAATGAGAACCATCAAACCAGCAGCATGAGAGGACCAGCTGAGAGGCGAAAGTGAAAGGGACCCGAGGAAAACCAGCTGAGGAACCTTTAAAGAGCCCGCAGAGAACCAAAAAAACCTGGGACAGCAACCTGACTGTTCACGTGCACAGTCACGTGAACAGTGGCAAACAGCAGCAAATTGGGGAGCAATCCAGCTGAAGGCGCAGAAAAAGCTGAAAAACAGCTCAAGATGTATGGGACAGTATGCCATAAAAGCAGCCGAGAGAGAACCATCTGAGAGGCACTTGAATAATGCATCCAGCTGAAACCATGTGAATAACCTCAAAGACATAGTATTGGGGAGAGAGTGGCCATCAAAAAACAGCAACCAAGGAGAAAAGCTGGACTGATCCAGCAGCAACCATCAATGAATGCCAATGGACCAGAAAGGCCACCATCACTCCCCAGCAGACCAGCTGAACAGGATCCAAACAGAAGAGGACCAGCTGGACAGAAAGCAATAGCAGCAGAGAAACGCCATACACGTGAACAGTCGCATGAACAGAGCACAAGACCCACAGCAGAGAGAAAAATCAGCAAAATGAAAAATGACCCTGCATCAAAGCCCAGCACCATGCCCAAGTAAAAATATCACATCAGCAACCATCCAGCACCTCACATAAAGAGATGATGAGTGATGAAGAAAAGGAAGACCAACATAAGTTGGCTTTAATCCTACAACAGGATTAACAGCCAGAAGATAGCCCCAGATGGGACCTTACCTAAATCAGTAGGGAACCCTGCTCCAACGCCATAAATACAGCAGCACATCACCAAGGCCTCAACACCCTAACTGAGCCTGAGCCAAACCAGACACAACACTGCCCAGAAACCAAGCAGCAGGTGCACAAAGACCCCAAGCCCAGTGTCAACCAATCCCCTGCCTATGCTCACTTATCAAAACCTTGTTTAGTCTAGCAGAAGCTATCATTCCTTGGTATTGTTGTAGAAGTAATCTGCCAGTACTAGGCAGAGTACCATTATCAGAAAAATCAGAATACCTACCAGCCTGCACTGCATAAGAAGCCAGGAAGTCTGCAACTCTATTTGCTTCCCTTTACACATGCCTAATATGGTAATTCATCTTCTCAAGAATATCTAAAATTTGCTCCATATAAATAGATAAACGCCATGGAACCTCAACCACCCCCAGCGCCACGTTAACCAATACTTGAGAGTCAGATTCCAAAACAAGCTGAGAAGTACCCAAACCATGATGCATAATCATTTTTAGAGCATCCAATAAGGCCAGACATTCTGCTTTCATATTAGAGCCAATCCCATAAGCTGCAGCAGCGGCTAACAAAACATGCCCCTTAGAATCCCTTAAAATCATCCCACCACTAGAAAGGCCATTTTGCTTGGAAGTCCCATCAAAGTTTAATTTTACCTTGTTAATTGCAGGAGGTTCCCAATTCATACATTTCACTTTAGTGGTGACCGAAAAAGGGGGATAAATCCTAAGGTCTTGCAACATATCTGTACCAGCTCTACCTTCCTCTTTCTTTGGTTTGATCATATAAGATTGCCATTTCAAAGCATTTAATCTCAATCCCTCAAACCTCCTCCTACACCTTCCTTTCCATAATGCCCAAAAAATGAGCATAGGGACACCTCTGATAAGTGCATGGATAAGAGAAAGGCCATTGAAGCATCCACACAGTCTCAAGATTAGTTAAGCACATAAAAATGAAAATCCAAAACATAACAAAAACACTAAAACAAAAAAGAGGATAAGAATGATGGGGAGGTGGGGCAAAAGAAACAAAAGAACAATAAACCCAAATTCCTAACCCCTAATCCCTAATCTCTATAGCCCTAATCCCCAACCCGAACTATAAACCGACAATCCAAAAAAAGGAAATAAAACATAATTAATCTAATAGATAAGCAACCAAAGCACATACAATCAAACAAATGCTATGCAATTATAGGTTGTGTAAACATTAAAACAATAACGAAGAATGAAAAACAAACAGAGGGATAATGAGAGTGTTGGGAATTGAAAATAGTAGAAACAATGATCATAACAACTAAGAAACACAAGAAGATGTACAAATAGTCATGTGTAAAACACATTTCATATGTAAAAGAAAGCCAATCAAATTTGTACAAATAGTTATACTTATCTTTTCGCTCCTAAACTCCGCTTTCAACCTTATCTCGTCCATTCCATTAACAACTGTAATCAAAGTACACATTAGATTAGTTACGCACATAAAAATGAAAATTCAAAACATAACAAAAACGATAAAATTAAAAAATAGGAGAAAAATGATAAGGAGGTGGAGCAAAAGAAGCAACAGAACAATAAACCCAATTTCCTAACCCCTAATCCGTAATTCCTAATCCCTAATCGCTAATCCCTAATCTCAAACCCCTACTCCCTAAGCCCTAATTCTCAACCTCTAACTATAAACCGACATGCTAAAAAAAGGAAACAAAACATAATTAATCTAATAAAAAAACAAACAAAGCACATATAATCAAAGAAATCCTTTGCAATTATAGGTTGTGTAAAACATGAAAACAATAACGAACAATGAAATGCAAATAGTGAGATAATGAGAGTGTTGGGAATTGAAAATAATAGAAACAATGATCATAACAACTAAGAAACACAAGAAGATGTAGAAATAGTCATGTGTAAAACACATTTCATATGTAAAAGAAAGCCAATTAAATTTGCACAAATAGATATACTTATCTTTTCGCCCCTAAATTCCGCTTTCAAGTTTATCTCGTCCATTCCACTTACAACTGAAATCAAAATACACATTAGATTAGTTATGCACATAAAAATGAAAATTCAAAACATAACAAAAGCAATAAAAGAAAAAATAGGAAAAGAATGATGAGGAGGTGGAGCAAAAGAAGCAAAACAACAATAAACCCAAATCCCTAACCCCTAACACCTAATCCGTAATCCATAATCCCTAATTTCTAATCCCTAATACACAATCTGTAATCCCTAATCCCAAATTCTACTCACTATAAGCTCTAATCCCTAACCCCTAACTATAAACCAAAAATTCGAAAAAACGAAATAAAACATAATTAATCTAATAGAAAAGAAAACAAACCACAGATAATCAAAGAAATGATATGCAATTATAGGTACTGCAAAACATGAAAACAATAACGAAAAATAAAAAGTAAAGAGTGGGTTAATGAGAGTGACCGGAATTGAAAATAATAGAAACAATGAACATAACAAGTAAGAAACACAAGAAAATACAAAAATAGTCATGTGTAAAACAAATTCCACATGTAAAAGATAGCCAATCAAATTTGCACAAATAGATAGACTTATCTTTTCGCACCACAACTCCGCTTTCAACCTTATCTCGTCCATGCCACTAACAACTGAAATCAAAGTACACATTAGATTAGTTACGCATATAAAAATAAAAATCCAAAACATAAGAAAAAGAAAAAAATAGGATAAGAATGATGAGGAGGCGGAGCAAAAAAACAATCAAACCAAATCCCTAACCTTTAACCCCTAATCCCTAATCCCTAATCTCTAATCCCTAATTCCAAATCCCTAATTTCAAATCCCTAATTCCATATCCCTAATTTCAAATTCTTACTCCAGAAGTCCTAATTTCCAACCCCTAACTATAAACCGACAAGCCAAACAAATGAAATAAAACATAATTTATCTAATAGAAAAACAAATAAAGCACATATAATCAAAGAAATGCTATGCAATTATAGGTGGTGCAAAACATGAAAACAATAGATATACTTATCTTTTCGCTCCTAAACTCCGCTTGAAAGCTTATCTCGTCCATTCCACTAACAACTGAAATCACAATACACATTAAATTAGTTACGCACATAAAAATGAAAATCCAAAACATATAAGAAACAATAAAAGAAAAAAATAGGATAAAAATGATGAGGAGGAGGAGCAAAAGAAGTAAAACAACAATAAACCCAAATCCCGAACCCCTAACCCCTAATCCCTAATTCCTAGTCCCTAATCCCCAAAGTCCTAATCCCTAATCCTTAATCCCTAATCTCTAATCCGAAATCCTACTCCCTATGCTCTAGTCCCCCACCCCTAACTATAAACCAACAACCCAAAAAAGAAAACAACATAATCAAACTAATAGAAAAGCAAACAAAGCATAGATAATCAAAGAAATGCTATGCAATTATAGGTGGTGCAAAAGATGAAAACAATAACGAAACATGAACAACAAACAGTGGGTTAATGAGAGTGTCTGAAATTAAAAATAATAGAAAAAATGATCATAACAAATAAGAAACACAAGAAGATGTACAAATAGTCATGTGTAAAACACATTTTACACATAAAAGAAAGGCAATCAAATTTGCAAAAATGGATATATACTTAGCTTTTCGCTCCTAAACTCCGCTTGCAAGTTTATCTCGTCTATTCCACCAACAACTGAAATCACAATACACATTAGATTAGTTACGCACATAAAAATGAAAATCCAAAACATATCAGAAACAATAAAAGAAAAAAAATAGGATAAGAATGATGAGGAGGAGGAGCAAAAGAAGCAAAACAACAATAAATCCAATTCCCGAACCCCTAACCCCTAATCCGTAATCTCTAATCCCTAATCCCTAATCTCTAAAGTCCTAACTCCTAATCCCTAATCCCTAATTCCTAATCCAAAATCCCAAATCCTACTCTCTAAGCTCTACTCCCCAACCCCTAACTATAAACCAACAACCCAAATAAAGAAAACAAAACATAAATAATCTAATAGAAAAGCAAACAAAGCACATATAATCAAAGAAATGCTATGCAATCATAGGTGGTGCAAAAGATGAAAACAATAACGAAACATGAACAACAAACAGTGGGTTAATGAGAGTGTATGAAATTAAAAATAATAGAAAAAATGATCATAACAAATAAGAAACACAAGAAGATGTACAAATAGTCATGTGTAAAACACATTTTACACATAAAAGAAAGGCAATCAAATTTGTAAAAATGGATATATACTTAGCTTTTCGCTCCTAAACTCCGCTTGCAAGTTTATCTCGTCTATTCCACCAACAACTGAAATCACAATACACATTAGATTAGTTACGCACATAAAAATGAAAATCCAAAACATATCAGAAACAATAAAAGAAAAAAAATAGGATAAGAATGATGAGGAGGAGGAGCAAAAGAAGCAAAACAACAATAAACCCAAATCCCGAACCCCGAACCCCTAACCCCTAATCCGTAATCTCTAATCCCTAATCCCAAAGTCCTAATCCTAATCCTAATCCCTAATCCCTAATCCAAAATCCAAATCCTACTCACTAAGCCCTAATCCCCAACTATAAACCAACAACCCAAATAAAAAAAAAAAACAAAATTAATCTAATAGAAAAGAAAAGCAAACAAAGCACATATAATCAAAGAAATGCTATGCAATTATAGGTGGTGCAAAAGATGAAAACAATAACGAAACATGAACAACAAACAGTGGGTTAATGAGAGTGTATGAAATTAAAAATAATAGAAAAAATGATCATAACAAATAAGAAACACAAGAAGATGTACAAATAGTCATGTGTAAAACACATTTTACACATAAAAGAAAGGCAATCAAATTTGCAAAAATGGATATATACTTAGCTTTTCGCTCCTAAACTCCGCTTGCAAGCTTATCTCGTCTATTCCACCAACAACTGAAATCACAATACACATTAGATTAGTTACGCACATAAAAATGAAAATCCAAAACATATCAGAAACAATAAAAGAAAAAAAATAGGATAAGAATGATGAGGAGGAGGAGCAAAAGAAGCAAAACAACAATAAACCCAAATCCCGAACCCCTAACCCCTAACCCTAACCCCTAATCCGTAATCTCTAATCCCTAATCCCTAATCTCTAAAGTCCTAACTCCTAATCCCTAATCCCTAA